GTATGAGCCTTCATGGGTGACAACGCATCTGCATTTTAATTCGTAACCGAGGATAGATTTCGATCATCTGGTGAACTACTTAGTAGGTTAGTATCATTAAAAACATAAAACAACAAAAAACAGTTATCTTATTCTCTAAAATATCCTCTCTCTCCTCTAAAAAGCTTGGCGTGCTCAGCAGATCGGGGCAGTATTTCATGCCGGTACACCACCTGCAACTTTCCAAGGTGCAGGTTCGGCCGCACATGGAATACTGTTTCCATCTCTGGGCTGGGGCTCCCCAGTGCCAGCTCCTTCCACTTGACCGCACCCAGCAAAGAACGGCTCGAATCGTCAACGACCGACGCTTTCCAATCGGCTCGATTCACTGGCGATGCGAAGAGATATTGCATCTCTTTGCGTATTTTATCGCATCTATTACGGGGAGTGCTCTAAGGAATTGTACGGATTAATCTCAGCCGCCAAATTTCGTAAACGCACTACGCGGCAAACCTCCCGATACCATCCACACCATCTGGATGCTTGGCGATCCACCACTGTACGTCCCTTGAATTTAAAGCATACTTTCGCAAGAAGTTCATTCGGTAATGGCGACTTCTGTTATAGCGTTAATTTCGGGTATAGCGACTTGTTTTTATGAAACATTTATGACCGATTCCTAGAAATCCCTTGCGGATATTGCGACTGAGTCGGAAAAGGCACAATGACTCATTCATAAAACTATTAAGCTTTCTTATCCTTTGTTTTCATTCACAGATGGTCAACAGAGCCGTGGTAGCTCAGTGGTTAACGCTCGCTGTAAATATAACAGAACGCGAGTAACCCGGGTTCGATCCCCGCCGGCACCAATGAAATTGTTAATTGCAATTTTAAGTGCTGATTTACCACGTGCTCGGCGGTGAAGGAAAACATCTTGAGGAAACCTGCATGTCTGAGGAATAAGAAAAAAAAATATTTTCGAAGACATGTGAAGTTCGTCAACACGCATTTGGGCCGCGCGGCGGACACTTCCTTGCCCTAAACCCTCTCAGAAATGAGGGGAGGCCTGAGCCCAGCAGTGGGACGTATATAGGCTGTAACTTTACTTTACTTTACAGATGTCCAAACTAATGCTTTGTTTGTATGTAGGACTACGTAGCATGTTTACGAATTTAAGCTTGTGAATCAGTTACATAGCAATTCCAGTGGGTGAACAGTGTTTCTTAAAGGGGGACGGCCATGGAACGCCCAACAATGTGCATTTGTTAAAAAATTATATCTTTATTTATGGTTATTAATCGCGGTATTCATTTATCCTCAAACAATGGGAATATTTTTGCACAAATTAAAAGTACCGAAAAGATAATAATAAAAATTAGGTAGATCATTATGTCATTAGTTTGTGAATAAAAAAAAGTGTTGCCAATCACAAAACACATTTAAAAAATCGATTCTCTTTTTCGATCGATTATTTACGGTGTCATCATTACAGTACTAATATAATTTTTAAATAATTATTATGTTATGATAATTAAACAAGCGAATTACTAGTTGATTTCCAATGAATTCTTTAGAGAGTAACAAAACGCTACGGCACAATTTTACTGTTAATCTTAACCGATCTTCTTTGAAAACAGATAAGAACTGTTATTCTTATCTGTTTTCAAAGAAGATCTGTTAAGTTATTCTTATCTGTTTATAACAATACATTTAAAATAGAATCATGTTATGATAACGAAACAAGTTAGTTTCCAGCTGATTTACCATGAATCCTTTAACCTTTTGAGCGCCAAAGTCGCCTATACTTGACCAACACCTGCGGGCCCTGAGCGCCAACGACGTCTATAGTTGACAAAAAACCCGGCTCTCAAAAAATGAAATATAGATATTGGAAAATTATTACAGTTATTTTAATTCTACACTCCTCAAAATAGGAATAACCCAGCAACATGTGAGTATAAAAAACAAGTCTTCTAGAGCCACAAGTACTAAGAAACATTGAACTAATAAAAATTGATTTTTATCTAAGTCCAGCACGCCAAAGTCGTCTATGGTTGACCGCTAATGTCAAACGCGGGAAGCATAGATTTCTTGAAAACTATCCAAAATTCAGCTCAATGGTGTTTTTTTTCTATTATTATTATTGATATTTGAATAAAATTAAAGGTTAGAAACATAAAACTATAATTAGCTACATGAATAAAAAAATGTTATCAGATCATCTTCGCATAATAAATCTAATATCTCAACTCTAGCGCATCTTTAGCGCGTTATCGAAAATCAGTTCACTGGGCACCGTGATCAAGGATAAACGACACCCTGATGATGTCATAAGTGATTACCGAGAAAAGTAGAGCAATGTAACATGAACGATTCCTCAGAACTCATTCGGATTTTGGAAAGCGTCGATGATGATGAATTTTGATTTTTGATTGATGAATTGAATTTTTGATTGATTGGTGAACAATTATGTTTATTTATTCCATGACCAAGATTTTAATATTATAAGGCTGATTTATCTAGTGCGAATAATTATATACAATTGTTGATTAATGAATAATTATGTACCTTTTTTAATAATAATACAAAATTACAATTAATGTTTTTTTTACTTAAGGTGTGAAGAGCAATTTTTCATTTTGTGTTGTGCCATTTCTTTCTCAGTCTCAAAATCATCTAGCAGCATCAGCATCATATCAAATCCCCATTGTTATAAGAGTGTAATACTTTTCTTCTGTGCTTCACTTGGTCTACGCCTTCCCCGACACATAAAATATTATGAATCGATGTCTGTATATTTCGGTTAGATCGATTTTGAAATCGATACACAACATTCTAAGAATGTTTAAAAAAGGAAGGTCAGCTACGCCGTTGTCGTGAGTCGTGACAGTGTCGTCATTAGGATGGAGAGTATTGCTGTGGTTTACTACTATTTTATTGTTATTGTTTGTTTGTTATTTATGTTTATATGTACAAAGTACATATATAAAAAGAGTGGATGACAGCACAAGATTAAATAAAACATACAGTTTATAAAGTGTCATTTATAGCATAAAAAAACCAACAAAAACAAGTTATTTTACGTTATCGATATATCAACTCTTGGCAACACTATTTTGTTTTGGCGCTTTGGCGTACAGGACACGGTAATGCGTTTTTGGCGTGGCGCTCAAAAGGTTAAAGCTTAACAAAACGCTACTGCACAATTTAACTGTTCTTAAAAATACATTTCAAATAGCATTTAAATAAATAAAGGAAAATATATTTTAAAAAGTGTGCAGAACTTAAAGCACCTCAAAGATTGTTTTTTTAACGATATTATTAATCGAATAAAAATCGATATCTTTTCATCGATTTTATGTCAGTTAAGTGGCAACATCGAGTCTGACAGCTAGGCCCTGTCATGGAATGAAATCACAATTCAGTTCACATTTCACAACTATATCTATACCTATATAAATAGTCACATGTATAATTCATTTGCGTGTTACTTTTTTCAACACACTTATTTATAACATGGCGATAAGATTAGCTTGTCACCACCAGATAGACTGCTACCGTTTTTACCAACTACCAAGTAATGAGACAATTGATTTTTCATTGTTTTTGGACTACTGGTAGTTTTTAAGTGCTTAATTATTAAATAATATAGGCCATTAAGTCTGCTTTTGTGCAGTAACAATTAACTTGATAAATATTTTATATGTATTTGAGTTTAAAGGAAACAAATCTATTTTATTTTTATTTAGTTCACTTTTTCACTTTTTTTATTTAATATTATTTCAGTTGCCATCGTCATCTCGTGTGTGTCATAATTGTTGGCGAAGCTTTGATAGAGCAGCATCACATTCAACTGCAGAACGGGAACCATCTGAATCATCTAGTTCATCCTCGTTGCAATCTGAAGTCGGTAATGTATTGCACCCAGATTCAAACATTCTAATTTTAATAGAGAATGAAGCTGGGTATTCCCACCTGCTTGGGACACTGTAATTAATAAAATTAAAACTAAACCCAAGCATACCACGCAAGACTTCAGGACAGTAAGTTCATTCTGCGTAGATCGGACCATAAATAGTTATTAAAAAGCTGAAGTTACTCCAAGTTAACACTGATTTCGGTACACCAGTCACCTCAATCCCCCATGATCATGTGTGCTGGAAAGCACCCGAAAGTCGGGAATTAAAAATCAAAGAAATTAAATGCGATAACATCGGTAAAATTAGTTGTTAAAAACTGTATTTGTGAAAATAAAAACTTTTATATCTTAAAATTCCCGACTTTTTTTAAACCAATTTCTTAACCATTTCATTCCTTTAATTGTATATTATCATATCTATATGCTTTTATATGTGGGCACCCATGGCCGAAATGTCTATGAAGAGTGGGCAATGCCCTTTGTGAATAAGGCTCCTAGACGTACATTTAATGTTGAAGAAAAAGTGGACATCATTTCAAGACTGCAAAATGGAGAAAACAATGTTGATCTGTGTAAACAATTTGGAGTTTCACATTCTAAAATATCAACGATGTGGAAAAACCGCGCTAAATTTATGGAGTGTTTTGAATCAAAATCCCTGAAAATAAAGAAAAATCGTAATCCATCTCATCAAGATATTGAAAATGCTCTCCTAGTGTGGTTTAAAGCTCAGAGAAGCTAAAACGTACCCATAAGCGGTCCTCTTTTGCAAGAGAAAGCTAATCATTTTGCCAGACAGATTGGGAAAAGAAACTTTGTATGTTCAGAAAGCTGGATTTACAGATTTAGACAACGTCATAATATAGTGGTCGTTAAAGTTTGTGGAGAAGCCGCCAGCGTGTCGCAAAATGACTGTGACAATTGGTTGAGAACAGTTTTACCAAAATTAACTGAAGGGTATACCGACAGTCAAATATGGAACGCTGATGAGACGGGATTATTTTTTAAATTGACTCCAGATAGAACACTAAAATTCAAAGGAGAAAAGTGTGCTGGCGGCAAACTATCAAAAGATAAAATATCCGTGCTTGTTGCTTCAAGTATGGCAGGCGAAAAACGAAACTTGCTGGTTATAGGGAAGGCGAAAAAACCAAGGTGTTTCAAGAATGTAAAAACTTTGCCAGTTGATTACGAAGCCAACAAAAAAGCGTGGACGCCATCGGAGATTTTTGAAAAAGTTTTACGGAAATGGGACTCTCAGCTAAGAGGAAACAAAAAGAATATCATTTTATTTGTTGACAATTGTCCAACTCACCCACAAATTCAAAATTTGACTAACATAAAACTGGCATTCTTAGCACCAAACACCACATCAGTTATTCAGCCTATTGATCAAGGTATAATTAAGACTAAAAGCCAACCTAAAGCTGGAGAAAAGTAGTGATGGGGATGAAGGGAGAAATAGAGGGGGGATGAAGAAGAGGATCAAGATTGCAACCTAAAGGAGATTCGAACAACTAAAGATGCATTATGTGCTATAACAACGTTCAAAAAGTACTGTTTATTTGGTGAAGGCCAAAATAATTTAGATTTTGAAGAAATTATGAAAATGGAATACACCTTACAGCGTGCATAAAAAACTAAACTTAAACAGTGCATTATAACACGTTTTTTCAATAACACCCGTGTCTAACATAATTAAATATATGATAAGTAGATATGTACATGACTTTTTATTATTTCGGATATAAAGACCTCCGCATATAGCGACGACATTAAAGTGGTCCCTTCGCCGTCGTTATAACCGAAATTCACTGTATATATATATATATTTTTTTTATTATTGTGTGTGTGTGTGTGTGTGTGTGTGATTTAAATATATATACTAACTACTACTTAAATGTCTAAATGTCTTTGTATTTAAAAAAATATATAACAATAATAAAATTATTGACATAATGGCAAAAACAGTTAGAAATAGCATTCTAAGCGACACGAATGAAGCCAAATACTACATAATATTGTTTGACTGCACTCTAGATGTGTCGCATACAGAATTAATGAGCCGGTTTATTCGCAATGTAAAAAACTGGTGATGTGTGTAAAATAATATAAAGTTTTATTGATTGCATAGAAGTTGCTGGAAAGACATACACAGTACTATGCGTGTGGTTAAAAAATGGGAGTGGAAATTTAAATAAAACTAATATACCTACATGTTTATATAATGCTTTTCAAATATTTCCCATTAGTAGAACATTTCAAATTAACGGAATACTATAACGTTATACCATTATTAGAGGATTTTCGCTATTGATACTGTGTATGTTGACAGTACAGGCTCTATGACCGCCATTTCCAATCCCATTATTTATCCGCACGGACTACACATTTGTTAACAGATTATGGAAAGTTTGAAATCAACTGTCTGCTTTAGATTTAAGACAATATCTAGACCAATTTTATGATAATGGGTCCAATATGGCGGAGTGCAAGCCAGGATTATAGAAGGAATGTGAAGACCTACCATGTTTGGCTAACTCCTTACATCTTGTCAGTGTTAATTCTGCCTCATCATGTCCGGAAGCAACGACCCTATTTGATTTTTGTTGGATCGAGAACTCAGTGGGATATCTTGAGAAAATATGTGAAAACCAATTTAAAAGGAAGCAATCAGACGAGAAGGTCGCCGCTACATGTCTCTATAAAAGCCCTCTTAAATAATTTGCTGGAAGTGGTGTAATCCTTGAAAGTAGTTAAGTAAACTTCCCATGATCCGAAAGCAAAGTACGAGGCAGGTCATCTCTTAAATCCTATAAAGAGTTCTAAATTTATTCTTAGCATGACGACTTGGGCAAATATTCCCCGCGGAATCAATCGAGTAAATATCGAATTCAAAAGGAAGATATAATCCTTGCAATATGCCTTGAAAAGTGATGAAAACTTTGCAAAAACTGAGAGAAAATTCAATTGAATATTGGAAAGAAGGCTAAAAAAGGTGCTGGGATAATTGGCGTTAAGCCTATTCTGCGAATAAACGAGTTCCGAAGTGCAAAATACAGTTTGGTGAGATGTGTGATGACGAATAACGAACTAGGATTCTTCAACCTGTTCTAAATTAATAGAATAAGTTGAACAGGTTTAAGTGTTCGTAAAAATGTAAGTATTTGAAAAGCAAATTTTAAATTTTATAGTCTTCGTGTAAATATTTGTAACTTAACAATTAACATTTTTAATAATACTAGTTTTTACGGAATTTATCGCATATATTTTAACTTTTTAAATACCCGACATTTCGAACGCTTTACAGCACTCATGGTCACGGGCAGGAGTCCTGCCTGTCCTAGTATTATTTCAATGTGTAGTGTTCGCGTAAATATAAGAAATCATAACATTTTTAACTTAATAATTAACATTTTTAATGTTAATACATTTTTAAGTTACAAGAAGATATTTAAGAATAGAGAGAAGTTAAGAAGAAATTTTTTTCTAATTATCACTATAGTAATACTACATAATCTATACTTAAATTACAAATACTTGGTGGCATGGAATCCAAGGGGATGGATTATTGTGCAAACAGAAATGAATAGGCAAAATTTCACGCAATTTATTGAGTAAAAATTAATCCTAAACATACAACAATGCGCCGTATTATACGCGTGCAAGTAAATAAACCTTCATCAGTAGCAAACCGGAAAGGTAGGATACACAATAGGTTACGCGTAAGTGGTATATATTATGACGATTCATGGACAAAATATGAACTTTTAGAATTAGTTGGGAATTACAAGCCGTAGAAAGATTACGCTATACATAAATTACCAGTTACTCACGATCATGAAATATTTAGATAAACACCCTACAACTGTGATCTCAACTCGATAGAAAATGTTCGGAATCTGGTAAAACAAAGAGTGGCCGAAAAGGAAGTCGATCAGCTGGAAAAGAAAATAGAAGTGTTAACACGTGAAGCAAAAGCCACAATTATGGCCATGGCTTGGCGAAAATAAGTTAATCACATAAAAATATTGAAAAATAATTATTGGACAAGGGAGGTAACGAATGAAAATGACATTGAAGAATTTGTAATTAATATTGGGCTGAACAGCAATTGTGAAAGCGATAGCTGCTCCGATTCTAACAATGATCATGAAAATAAAGATGAAAGTGTCCGGAATTAAAGTGTTCTCAGACGATTCAGGTGAAGGTTCAAGTAGCAGAATTTAATTTACAAAGATTACTGTATAAAAAAATACTATGTGAAAAGTAAATGTCTATAAAATTTCTTGTATGTCTGATCTATTGGAAATATTATCTTGACTGTTATTTAAGTTAATATAAACTTAATTTAAGAAATTCATTGTTTTTTTATAGTCTTCGTGAATAATAGACTAATTTATGCGTATAAATAATTCAATTTTATTCAAGCGAAGCCAGTGCGGGTCACTGGTTATAACTGTTATTTTAAAATTAATGTTTCTACTTGTGTATAGATATAATTTTACTAAAATATTTTCCAATTAATAGAAAATTACTAATTTACCAATAATATACCTAAAGTTTTAATTAACATAATAACGATATACCGCTATTAGCGGGTTTTCGTTATTTGTATTGTGCGTGTTGATGGTACAGGCTCGATGAGCTGCCATATATAATCCCATTCTTTATCCGTACGGGCTATAAGAAAAATTGTAACATAATATATGGACCTGAGTCTGAAATAAATTATTAATAATGAACCACGCAATAAAAGAAATCAGTGTAAGTTATTTTACGTAACTTCTATTAAATAAGCAAATATCTAACTTTGATGACATGACATGAGGATAATGATGTCCCCCTTGTCTTCTAGTGACGACAAATTTTCACCTATGGTAATCGCTGTATACCAGACGTCTCCGATATGGATATTTTGCTTCTAGCGTAAATTTTTGTATTTAATCGACCAAAAAGATCTTGACTTGCCACATTAAATAAATGTGAACATGTGAACGTTCGAATAATATATTAACTATCATAGAGCGAACGAAAGGTTATTAAAATTAACCTTCCAAACTTAGTGTAACTTCGTTAATAAAATGACGCAAATGCAGTCTGAATGTCTAGAGGTAACCGATTTACATTTCCTATAAATAAAAATATAATTAATTACGAGGCGCAGCCATTTTGACTTTGTGCATTAAATCAAGATTGCTGCTTTACGACGTAAATGTAAATAATTAACTTTGATATTTTTTTTATAAAATTGAATTTACTAACGAACTTACAGCTTTCCTGATAGTAAACTGCTACTGCGGTCCATAGACATCTATTTTCTCTTTTCTTTTCTTTTCATTTCTTTCCTTTTCTTTTTTACCGACTTCAAAAAGGAGGAGGTATTCAATTCGACGGTATGTTTTTTATGTGTGTTATCTCATAAATTTTCTCTGGGTGAACCGATTTTGACGATTTTTTTTATCTGTAAGCTGGTGCTTCTCTTATCCCATATAAATTTAATCATTTAATCAAGATCTGACCAGTAGTTTTTGAGTTATCTTTCATAATACGTATTACATTGACTTCGAATACCTAATTATTTTGAAGTCGGTGGTACAAATTTTTTAATTTTACCACTCGCTTAAACATTATTGTATACGTTATTTCCACACTAGGACTGTCTCCTGTATTGTGGAGGTCGTTACATATATAAAACATAAATTTTACAAGGACAAGCATCCAGATCTGGAATAGTTATTTGTGACTATACAAGTACTTGTTCCACGCGGGACCCAAACCCGCTGCCTTCAACACTGCAACTTTACGAAGCCACTGCACTGGGCCTTCCAACCTACAAACAACTTCAAATAAATAAAGAAGCTCTATCACCTGTTTAAAAAAAAAACATTATTCAGTACTCCATAACTTATAACTTTTTTATATTTATATAGGTACTCTATAATTATAACTTTTACCAAAAAGTAAAAACCGACTTCAAATTGATAAAATTAAAGTACTTTATTTGCAACCCTTAGATTTTTAAAAATCGGTTCACAATCTGCAAATTTATCGTGTAACATATATTATACAAAAGAAAGAACACATTCGACTTGAGAACCTCCTATTTTTTGAAGTTGGTTAAAATATTACCATCCCGTCATTTGAGTATTTTAAGAGATGATTTAGAAAAAAGCCCAGAAGATTATTTCTCTTTTAATAAGTTGCGCTATACCATCCAGATATAAAATTCCTAACTTTGAAAATATGAAAAATATATTTTATTTAATACATAGTTGTCTATATAGAATTCATTCAAGATATAATTAAATAATTTAAAAAATGCAAGATATAATTAAATAATGAAAAGCGGTTCACAGGTAGGCCAATCTTAAAACTTCCCGCTTTTTTTAGAGCTTAAAACGCTCGAATATCTTTCAATTGGTTGATTTTTGAGCTCTT